CATACTAAGAAAGTTAGTAGCCGGTAGTCATCGGGTTAAACTTACTTTTTTTTTACTATAATGCTGGTGGTTATGCTACAATGCAAGATCTCTGGAGGATTACCTACCTGATGAAAAGTTTGTTGGCAGGCTCGGAGGTTGCACAAAGGATGACACAACACTTGTGCTATGTCCACACGGCAAGACAGGAACAGAAGAAACACTGGCATTAGCTACTGCAATACTATAAACTGAGAGAGGGATGCTGGTTGTAGGACTTCCATATTGGTCTGGAGCAATATGTAATGATATTGGCTCTGTTGATGGAAATCCTGGAAGCATAGCATGTGCAGAATCTGTTTTTAGCACAGAACAGGATAAAGTAGTATAAGTACTTACGGTAGTGGCAGAGGACAAGTCAGATTGAAAAGTAGGCAAAACTACACTGTTAACATGGGGAGTAACAGGTTGAGACAGATGTCCGTGTGAAATTTCACTAAAATGGTGCATACTGGTGCTAGCTGATTCAGTTACTGTAACAGGTGTTTGAGGTTGGGAGTGAGACGGAAGAAAGCTGTCAGGAACAGCAGATACAGAAGTGCATGGCTGTGTGAAGGTCAATACTGTATCAGGTGCTGAAATATACTGAAGTCCAGATACTCCAGAATGGATGTGGGATAACACTTGAGGCTGGGAATGAGCCGGGGTAGTAAAGGTTTGTGCCGGAACAGTCTGTGCAAAGATAGCTTGCAAACCTTGTTCGATATTAGCAGCCATCCCAACAGAAGCACAAGTTACACTGTGCAGTTTCTGAAGCTCCAGTTTAAGGTCTTCTAACTTTGTTGCAACAGTTGGTTTACGAGACATATCTACATTGGAAGACATTGATGAAAGAGTTTTAGCGCAGGAAGATACTGTTCCCACTGGAATTGAAATTGCTTCCACAGCACCTGAAGGTGTCTGGGACAGTACTTCAGTTACACTTGTGAGATTTTCAGATACCATAGTATAGTGAGAGGGCAAAGAAAGTGTTCTCTCTTTGAATACTGCAGAGATTGAAACACCTGTCTCCATTTTAGAGAGTCTTGATGCATCAGTTTCTAGTTGAGACACAGTACCTATCTCTGAAACATGGGGTCTTGCTGTAGAAACATGTGGACGAGAAACAGGGTGAGATAACGTTTGAAAAGAGGATACTGCCAATGGAATTCCTGGTGAAATTGGAGAAGTCACAACCCCCGAAAAAGAATTTCTGGTTACGTTCAGATCAACAAGTGTAGAGTCAACTAAAGGCAGTTTACTAATCTTTTTGACAGAGTTGGCTTGCGAAATGCTTGAGACATTATATGGTAAATTAGCCAGAGAAAGAGTTACTTGCATCTGTTGATCTGTTAGATCATCAAGAACTTCAGTGGATGAAGAATGTTTCACTTGACTTGTGACAGGAGCACATGATGATGATGAAACAGCAGAAACTGGTTGTGTCAGCTGACCAACAAGCTCACTCCCGGCAATAGTAGAATGAGCAACAACTGTCATCTGTGATGTCAAACTATCTTGTTCACTAACCCTAGATGTAGTCTGCACAACTGCTGGTTGAATCAGGTGATCCTCATGTTGACTTGTGGGAAGAAATGACTGAAATATAATTGGTGCTTGCTTCAATGGAATATCAAGCTGATCACATGTAATAACAGCTTTGGAAACCCCTGGTGGTTGCAGTAGTTCAGCTCCAAGTTGTCTAGTAATATCAGATTGAGGGAAGACTACTGGTTGAGTCACTTTGTCTACAGGTTTACTAAGTGAAATGCCACTTTGTGGAAAATGACTGGTAATATCAGGATGAGGAACAGCTACTGGTTGAATTGCTTGACCAGTAACATAACTCGTAGTGATTGAGTTTGCAACAACTACAGGAAGTACTGGAAGTTGATTAGCAGAAACAGTGGAGTGAGGAAAAATTGCTGGTTGTGTAAGTTGGCTATCAGAAACGGTAGAGTGGAAGACGACTACTGGTTGTGAAGGTTGGCTGAATGTGTTAGGTGCAACTACTGGTTGTGGTAAATGACTGTCAGGAACAGAAGAGTAACAGACAAGTGCTGGTTGTGCAATTTGGCTAACTGAAACAGAAGAGTGGGGGACAACTGCCTGTTGTGCAAGTTGACTAACAGAAACAGAGTGAGGAACAGCTACTGGTTGTGCAAGTTGACTAACAGAAATGGTAGAGCAAGGGACAAGTGTTGGTTGTGTAATATGACTGGTAATAACAGCAGAGCAAGGAAAACTTGTTAGTTGTGATGGTAGACTTCCAAGCTGACCAGCAGGAACAGAAGATGTGACCAACTGCCACCCTTTACTCTGTTCACCCATCTCAATAATTTTACAGTCAGGTGTAGTCTGTGTCTGGGCCTCACTGAGATGCATAGTGTGTTTCTGTTGTTCTAGGTTGGTGTGTTTTGCAGCTTCTTTGTCAATACCAACAGAAATATGAACCCCAGTATGTTGTGATACTGCTGCAGAAACTGACAGGTTTTCTTCTTTCGAAGTGACTGCTGTGCTCACTTTGTGCTGTGGGGAAACAGGTGAGCTTTCAGTCAGTATTCCATCACAAGTAGATTGAGTTTTATCCATGAAATACGCCTGGGAAAAAAAATAAATGTTCTTATCATAACTCCTTCCACATAACTCTCTCATCAGTAAATTCAGAATTTAAAAATTTCAGTAGTCTGTGATTTATGTAAAGGGGTTGCTTAAACACACCATGAAACACTAAATACTGTTATTTTTCTTTTCACAGTGGAAATACTTAACCAAACTGCATGAAACGTAGAAAAATCTTAGTAAATAGTAACTAGTTTTGGCTTTAAAAAAATTCACATAACTGGTTTGTTTTTCTGTTATTATTTATGTTGTGGAATTTCCAAAATTCTGTTGTGTCACCGTTTGCAAAAACACTAAAAATACTTCCTTTTGTTTTAGAATAAAAAATTTTTTTAATGTTGATCAGAAAGTCCCATTTTTCACATCAAATCAGTTTTTACAATTTGATGTTCATATACCGACTTCTAAAAAAATGTTCTCCAAGTTTAATTAAAAACCTTCTGGCAACATTATTTTAATTATAAAGAATTATTTCCAAGCTTCATTTCCAAAAGAGTAGAAAATTTTTCTACATAATACAATTTTTTTTTTTTAGTTTTAATATCTTATTACTCAAATATCACATTTATACTTTTCTCAAATTAAAAAAAATTATGAAATGACCCCTGACAACAACTTACTGTTGCTTTTTGTCCTCCATGTTGCTGATGTTGGGATGAAACTGGCTGTCCACCTGTTGCTTCACTAGCCACTGTCCATGTTGGGTTGGTGTCAGAGGTACTAGTGGTCCCACAAGTACAATGAGCTAAAGATGAAGTCAATTCGGCCAGTTTTTGTTGTAGACTACTCAAGTCAGGAACATGAGGTAAGATCTGGGACTGTTGGTGGGTGCTAGCACTGCTGCTGTTTCCACTACTGAAAAAAAAAAAAAACAGTAAACCCAATGCATTTTTACAAACTACAAAAATATTCTAGGTCTACAATAAAAGTTCATTTTTGAAGAACAAGGAAAGAAAACTGCCAATTGTGGTTCAAAAACGCCTTGACCCATGGGTGCCATTTAGCAAAACAGGAAGGGGGAAATTGCTCCCTCCATTTTGAGAACAACACAAATATAAAATGTGTAATTTGTGTTACAGTCGGTTATTACAAATAGGATATCATTAGTGCAAATGCTCTCAAAATACCTTCAAAACCCAATATCGTTCAGGGACTTCAAAATAAAATTGACTCCCCCTCACCACCCCAACAAAATCTGAAATGGTAGACAAACAAAACAAACCAATACGTCCCACCCTGCTTCATAGTCGAGATATAATAAATATTTTGCAAAATTGTATTTATCCTGCAAGTAGCACTGGTATTACTGTACTAGTCTTTAAATAAACAAGTTATTTTATGAAGAGTATAAAAATATCCTGAAAATTCTTTAATTAGCACTCTTCTCTTAAGTAAAACAATGACACTGCTGATATTATACTTAACCCCAATAAAATTAAAAACGTATTAATATTTCTAAAGGTTGCCAGTGAAAAAAAATCTAAATACACAGAATTTTTATAGAATCACTGTTAGCAGAATCAGTAAATAATAGACAATTTGTTGGTGGATTTGTTTGACAATTTGACAATTTGTTGGATTGCAAATCAAGCACCCTAACCACCTGGCCATGCTTTTCTTTTTAACTAGATCACTAGGGTATCGTTTAATTTCTATCAGTAAAGGCAATATTTCTTTTAAAATATCGAAATTACAGATGAACCAACATACCTGAAAAATTAATTAGAAAGTCATTCAAATGTATCACGTATATTCAAAAATGTAAATTATTTCATGATTCTAGATATTCCAAGCTGACTAAAGTAAAAAAAAATAGATTGAAACAGTCGTAACTAACCTATTATCTGTCTGGCCTGTCCGACTTCCTGAATCTAAACCGCTGAAAACAGAAGAACAGGTGCTTCCCCCTAGGACACTATCTTCAGTGGTTACTGTGCTTTCAGACAGGGTGAGCTGCAGCTGTGAGGTTGAAGTACTAGGAAATACATTGCTGTTACCAACATCTCTTACTCTACCTGACTGGTTAACGTCACTGTTGGGAAGATCTTCCTGTAAGATTACAATTAATATCAGATATATGTTCCAGTTTCCTAGTATATAATTAGTACCTGAAATGTAACCTTCACCTATTTCAATCTACTTTACTTTATATAGATAAATTCTAAAGTACAGTAAATTTAATGCTCAGTCGCAGAATGACATTAAGATAATTCTCCCTTTTTTAGTGTTGTAAAAGCTTTTTTTATATAAATAATTGTTCACACTTTTTTTTTAGAATTACTAGAAATATCAATTTATTAAAACTGAACAAACTTTTTTTAAGACGCTTTTATTATTCTTTTGAAACTGCAATCAGATCTCTACTAGTTGAAGTATTTTACCTGCTTATTTACGCTATAACATAAATACACATGTAAACTTAACAAAGTTGGGGTAAAATAAAAAGGAACTTGTTACATAAGCTTAAAAAAGAAAGAGGGAACTACACTACAAACCACAGAAATAATTACAACTCACTTTCACATTAAAGTGTAGTTTAAAATTCTTGAAAACGAGTTGTCAGTTGCGACTCGCATTAAAATTTTATATATATACATTTTTGTAAGTCATAATTAATGACCAAATTTTGGGAATTTCAAACTATATTACACTTACAAAAAATATGACATTTAGGTTTAAGTAAAATTAGACAAAAAGTGTTATGGACAATACAAGACACTCTGTAAAAGATGTACGCCTGAAGATCCCTACTCACAACAATCCTGAATTTGTTAACATTCAGAGAAGCAGGAATATGCTTACAGGAGGAAGACAGACGATGAACAGGAAAATTTTAAAGTTTGCAGCGTGTAGTAGTTTGAAAAGTGCTACTACTGTCAAAGACAGAAAAGAGAAGATTAGTAGGAAGTAACGAGGTTAGCACTGTAGGTGACCTTAAAATAAAAAAATCTATTCTATGTGATGAAATCAATACTGGCTCGGCAAGAAAAGGAGTTAGTGATCCAGGTACCAACAGTCCTTTAAAGTTTGGCATACTATGGCCTTGCTTCCAAATATGGGCACGTCCAGATTTAATTAAACTTTGATCAAGTACGGTTGAAACAGTGGCTTTGAGCAAAGAGAGATGTTTTAGTTGAGGTTGAAAAATATCACTTTGAAGAGCAGATGAAGAGGAAGGAATATTTTCTTGAAGAATCACCTGAAATACTGAATCAGTGTCTGATAATCGAGCAGTCGTTGAACCAAGTAATGGACAAGATTCTTCCACGGGACTAACTTTAAACCTTGAAATGACTGGAATAACCTGCAAGAGATAAAACAACAGTGGAAAATGTTTTTTGGTAAATGTATAGCATTTCATATAAACTAGCTTACAAACTTTACAACAAATCTCATGTTTAGAAGTTTAAAGTTATTGAATAACATATATATGTATTTAAACATATAAATGTACAAATAATTGCTTAATAATCATGTAAACATTGCAAGATTAAATCAAAATCTTTCCAAGACAAAAAAAATTAACAATTCCATCCAAGTAGGCATAATAAACCCACCCTGACCCTTCCGTTATCTAACGCTTACAGAAAAAACAACTGTGTGAAGTTTGGTTTTTTTTAATTCTGTGCAAAACTACACAAGGGCTATTTGTGCTAGCTGTCCCTAATTTAGCAGTGTAAGACTAGAGGGAAGGCAGCTAGTCATTACCACCCACTGCCAACTCTTGGGCTACTCTTTTACCAATGAATGGTGGGATTGACCATCACATTATAATGCCATATTTTCTGTAAAGTAAGTTCTACTAAGTATGAATAGGAAGATGCAAGAAAGTGCAGAGATATTTTAATGGCCTACTATTCAGCAAACTATTGATACATATACCTACACCAATAGCCATTCCATCGATATTTTACACACAAATCACTAATACATACAGTGGTTCTAAAACATAGTCTTATTAGTTTTTTTTTACATACCTGAGGCTGAGAAGTAGCAGCTATTAACTGTGTGTTAGCCATAGCTTCTTGAGTAAGTGATGGATGAGCAGAATGTTGATGTCCTGAAACAACCAATGGAGAGGAGGAGGAGGAGGATGGTGTAACAGACTGTGGATGAGGTTTGTGTACTGGTGATCCATGTGATGGAGCACAGATTTCTCTGTCTCCATCAGTTTTAGGAGTCGAAGGAGAACTGACCTCTTGACTGTCAAAACTGAATTTCTACCAACATTGAAAAAATATATTTTAAATAAAGTATCAGTTTATCTTTTATAAAATATAATCATGATGATTACAGGGAAAAAAAAATTGTGCGTATAAAAACAAGTATGGATATTTCAGACATACAATTTTCTAAGTAACCATTTTACAAAAATACATTCAAAGAACTGTTGAATATATTGTGCACTGAATTTTGTGACCAAATTAAATGTCGTAGTTGGTATAAACCTATGAAAAATAAAGTAATTACAGTAAGTTGCCTCTTGACATAATGTCCTTCAGTGCACTTTACAAAAGTTGCAGTATATCCAGATATGTAATACATACTTATTATGTAAAACTTGTATCGAGATATGTAAAACATACTTATTATGTAAAACTTGTATATCGAGATATGTAAAACATACTTATTATGTAAAACTTATATCGGGATATGTAAAACATACTTATTATGTAAAACTTATATTGAGATGTGTAAAACATACTTATTATGTAAAACTTATATTGAGATATGTAAAAAATACTTATTATGTAAAACTTGTATATCGAGATATGTAAAACATACTTATTATGTAAAAACTTGTATCGAGATATGTAAAACTTATATCGAGATATGTAAAACATACTTATTATGTAAAACTTATATTGAGATATGTAATACATACTTACAGCCACAAACTTAAATTACGAGTTTTACATAATAAGTATATTTTACATATCTCAATACAAGTTTTACATAATAAGTATGCTTTACATATCTCGATATATATGTTTTACAGACATTACACTTTTCTCTGGCAGTCTCCACTAAAATTAAAGACATAATTATTCATTCTAGTTTACATCCATAATTGTTTTTGTTACAAATATTTCACTCATTCCTATTTCCCTCTAGTATATACCTTGGAACAGGATAAATCTAAATGATCTCGAATAACTTGACGTCGACTTATGATAGGACTTGAAGTAGAAGTTGAAACCTGTACATCGCTGACATGAACAACGGGGATCTTCTCGGGATGTTCTTTCAACTGGGACACGATATCCTGAATCTGATCAACAAAAATATCAGCATGTTGTTCTGCCAGTAACTGTGTCATCACCTGTTTGAAGAAGTAGACAAAAAAATCCTTAAACAACAACAGAAAATGATCTACATCCACAAAAGAAAAACGTTGTTCAAAGTCAAACATTTCACATCACGAGTGAAAGGTAAAATATTCAATGACGTAAAGATACGTGGGGAAGCTGCTGGGTATATGATATTTGGAATATTGGAATTCAGGGAAAAGTATTTTAAAACACAGAAAATAGAAAATGTTTTAATGGGAGGGAGGTTGAAAACTTAGTTATGCCACTGAAAATATTATACAAATATGACCTGTTAATACAGTTACTTGTAGAAAATGTTTTAATGGGAGGGAGGTTGAAAACCTAGTTATGCCACTGAAAATATTATACAAATATGACCTGTTCATACAGTTACTTGTAACGTATTTTTATACATTTATGATCAATTCGGTAATTAAAGAGGTTGGGCAATGAATAACACCTATACAAACTAATTGCAAAAAAAAAAAAAGTTAGTTTTGAGAATTTTTTCCTTACTCAATCTAAAAAGTTGTGAGAGATATTCCTTTAAACGCATTTGTACATGTAATATCACTGTTGCCTACCATTCTCAAACACCTAGTTAAAAATGTATCTCATTGTTTTCCATACAAGGTTTAATCCACATTAACTTATGTACAAATTTTTAACTTTATTTTATAAATCTGAAGGAGTTATGATGTCATTTTATAGGTCACAGGTTAGGCCACATTTGGAGTACTGTGTTCAGTCTTAGGCTCCTTACCTTAGAAATAACATTGAATTATTGCATAGGGTTCAGAGAAGGGCTACTAGGATGACACCTGGGATGGAAAGGTTGTCATGCAAGGATAAGTTAAGATCTCTAAACTTATTTCCTCTTGAAAAAAAGAATAGGAGACACGATTAAGATGTTTCAAATTATTAAGGAAATAGATAGTTTTGGTGCATCATATTTTTTTGTACTTAATGGTGAGAATGATAAGACTAGGGGACACAAATATAAATTTTGGCAGGGTAAGAGTAATCTTTTCTCTAACAGGGTGGTTGGTGTCTGGAATGAGTTGCCTTCAGATGTGATAGATGCGGTTAATTTAAGGGATTTTAAGGGAAAATGTGATAAATATTTGAACGATAAAGGCTCACTTTGAGTGTTTTATTTTACAGTTTAGCATAACATCATGGAACATCTGACATGAACTGATAAATCCCTTGTAGTTTTTAATTATAAATTATCTGTATCTTGTGTAAACGTTTTTAAGTCATGTATATAATAATACAGGCCAGTGCTGGTTTTATTGTTTTAAAATATTTACATGTTCTACGGTAATTCCTGTACGCTGAATCCAAAAATGATATCCATTTTATTCCATCACAAAACGTCATAATGCAATACATCAAAGAAAGACCACAACACGTAGTTTGAGACTAAAAGACGTAGATATCAGGATGAAGGAGGATGCATATTCGTTTGACATCAATATTCTTCCCTTTTCTTCAGTTTGTTTGTATTTTTGTTAACAAACGTAATAATAAAAAATTTTCATAGTGGTAAACAAAGTAAGAGTTTTTTTTCTTCCCGATTTGTAAAAAAATCCTCACGTGATAAAAAAATTAATATTATTTTCAAAATCTGCAT